AAAAAAAAAAAAAAAAAAGAAAGTTGGATCTTATATGGCTGCCTGCTGTTTGAGTCCTGTTCCAGTGGCTTGGAGAACCAGAAACGTCCTTAATTTAGTAAAGAATAGGCACAGCTATCTTACATCTGTCCTCATACTTAGTATGGGCCTACCCCCTGAAGTCAGGAATGAAACAAGTATGTCTCCTGCCACAGTTTCAGTCATTGGAGTGTGGGTTGTTGCCAGTTGGCAAGAAAAAAGAAATGTATCTGAAAAGGGGGGAGAGGGTATACTTCGTACGATTTGCGTGTTAGTGACAGAAGTGTGCAGAAACTCCAAAATAGCTTTAAGAAAATTATAGCTCTAAAATTTTTCCTTGGTGGCTTCGATAAGGGAGAGATGGAGATGGAGAGAGAGCACTCCCGACAGGGTCTAGGCGCTGCAGTCCCACCCCAGCTTCGGCCGGCTCCAGATCATGGCCACGTGCTTACCCAGCAATCTCAGGGAGGTCTCCAGGCATGAACCCGGACCCTCCCATGCAGGTCAGCCTGTGGAGCGACCAGTTCCTGTTCTACTGCTGCCTTATTGGCTGGTCCCAAATGGCTGCTTTTCAGTAAGAGTTTTTCTTTTCTCCCCAAAGATCCATACCACACATGGCTTTTTTTCTTTCCTGACAGTGTCTCACAACGTTGTCCAGGCCAGTTAGCTCATAGTCCAGCTCACAATTCTGCCTCAACCTCTCCGAGTCTGGGATTACAGGTGTGTACCGTAACACCCAGTCTTTAGGTTGGACTGCGAATTGAACCTGGGTGTCCCATAGTCCCAGCCCGTGGAGCACAGCATCTTAGCAGTGTATGTGATCCAGTATGGGCCCAGCGAGATTACTTTGTGCAAGAGCAACATACAAAACTTCAATCATGTTTCTATATCCTAGCAAAATAATTTGAAAGTAAAATGCTATTTATTATCTAATAGGACTGCATTGCTTGTGGTTCTCCAGAGAATTAGAACCAATAGGGTATATGGATATTTAAGGAGGTTGATTGTGAGGGTAGAGCTCACGCACGTAATAGAGGCTGAGAAGTCTTGCAGCCTGCCATCTGCAAGCAAAGTGATCAGGAACACCAGTGTGGAGTTCCATTGAATCTGAAGATGTAAGAACCAGTATTGCTAATTACCTGATATCCCAAGACAGAAAATCAAGGTCCCAGCTTAAAGAAGAAAAGCATTTCATTGATTTGTGATTACAAAATTGCCTTTTTTAGGTACTTTGTTGCAAAGTTCATACTCAATGTTAGAAGCTGCTTATGATGGCTGGGGTTAAGTTTTATTTATGGCTGATGCAAGCATTTATTAAAAATGATCTAAGAGTTTTGGCTTGTGTTTGCAATTTAAGCAAATTAAGGCTATTTTTAAGGTTTTGTTTGCTGAGGAATTTTTAAACCCAGTCAGAAGGGAAGTATGAGGAAAAAAAAATAATCTTGCTGATTGCCTTGTTAACTGGGATTAAAATCGAATTACAGACACGTGTTGCTTAACCTTGATGATACTTCTGAGAAATGTGTCCTTCGATGATTTCATCAGTGTGAAAAGTATAGTGTACTCAAGCAGATGGGATAGCCAACTCCAAGTCGAGGCTCCGCATGAGGTGTAACCTACAAGAAGCATGTCACTGGAAGCATTTGCAACACAATGCTAAGTATTTGTGTATCTAAGCTTATCTAAAATCGAAAGATACAGTAGAAAACAAAAATGGTATACCTGGTTACGACACTCACTATATATGGAGCTTGTGGGGCTGTAAGTGGCTCTGGATAGACTATAAACACTACACTTAGTTACAGTGAGTGTATATATTTATAAAGTATTTTTCTTTTTTCAACAATTAGCTAGCTCACTATTTTATAAATTTAAAGTTTTAGAACTTCTGCCTTTTGTAATGATGTTTAGTTTATAACATGAATGCATTGTATAGCTGTACAAAAATATATATAAACTTTTTTTCTAGTTTTTAATTTATTTTTTTTGGGGGGAGAGGTTTTTACTATAGGGTTCGTGCCCTCGCCAGAATGAGAGAGACAGACAGACAGAAAGCAAGAAATCCCCCCCCCAGGGGGGATGGCCACACCACAATCCTTTCTCCATTCTCCTCTCAGGATCTAGGGCAGGCACACACACGCACCTGAAGTGAGTTTAAGCCACCGGGTCCAGGACTCTAACTGAGGTCGACTACATGGGAATCCAGTGACACTGCCATGATACCAACTGCTGGTCCCCATAGTTTTTAAATGTTTAACTAATTTTACTATTTGAAAGTTTAAAAAATACACAAACATACATAAACGAGCCTACACAAGATCAGGATGATCTCTATCCCTGTCTTCTTCCTTCACGTCTTGTACCCACTGAAAGGGTCATGGCGAACAAAACCATGTGAGATTAAATAGAGCATGAGAAAGTGATGTAATCAGGAGGTGTAAATACGAGGTGTGTGAGGTTGCTGGCAGTGTGACAGCACAGTATTGTACAAGAAACTTTTTAACAAGTTGAAGGAATACGCTCCAGGGATGATAAGTATGGCACTGTAAATACATAAACGAGCCACAGTCCTGTTATTATCAGGTGCATGTACATGATCGTATGTGCGTACTTCTGCACAACTGGTATACCTGCACCACCACAAATACCTGAATTACACGGTGTGCTTCATTAGCTCTGTCACTGGGCAATAGGACCATTTCAGCTCCTTGTTAATCTTAAGAGATTACCATCACATAAATGGTCTGTCATTGAAATGTCCTTAGGTAGCCCATGACTGCATTTCAGATTATCTGCTGGAATGTGTCCCCCCCCCAGGGGGGATGGCCACACCACAATCCTTTCTCCATTCTCCTCTCAGGATCTAGGGCAGGCACACACACGCACCTGAAGTGAGTTTAAGCCACCGGGTCCAGGACTCTAACTGAGGTCGACTACATGGGAATCCAGTGACACTGCCATGATACCAACTGCTGGTCCCCATAGTTTTTAAATGTTTAACTAATTTTACTATTTGAAAGTTTAAAAAATACACAAACATACATAAACGAGCCTACACAAGATCAGGATGATCTCTATCCCTGTCTTCTTCCTTCACGTCTTGTACCCACTGAAAGGGTCATGGCGAACAAAACCATGTGAGATTAAATAGAGCATGAGAAAGTGATGTAATCAGGAGGTGTAAATACGAGGTGTGTGAGGTTGCTGGCAGTGTGACAGCA